TCGTCAGTATTTATCTGACAGATTTGTTTTTCGCTCTATTCAATTATCTAATCATTCGCTCTTCCCCTTGCTTCAATCACTCGAAGAAGAAATTAACTCTTCCAGATATTGGTCTCACAAAAATCTTCCTTGTTTAATAAAAAGTTATAAAAAATATAAAAACCTGCACAATCCCACTCATCGTTCTAACTTGCTGCCACTTTTTGATGTTAACTATCAATCTTTAATATTATGTCCGAATATTATCTTAAAGTCTATTAATAAAGATCCTACAGCCAATTTTAATTTTAAATATACCATAGACTGTGAATTTAAAGACCATCATCATATTTTTACTGATGCTTCAAAAAACAATAAGTCTGGCAATGTAGGCATAGGTGTTTATCATTCACAATACAATGTTGTTCAAAAAATTAAACTTCCACCCGAATCCTCAGTTTTCACAGGTGAATGTTATGGACTTTTAAAGGCCCTGGAATATGTTATTATTATGAAGCTTAAGAAAACAATTGTATTCTGTGACTCAATGAGCGCTCTTCAGGCTGTTGGTAAATTTCCCTTTCGAATGAAAACATATTATCCTGTTATTTCTGAAATAAGAAAATTACTTTATAAGTGTTACGTTAACAACTACTACGTACAATTTATGTGGATCCCAAGTCATTGCGGTATAGGTGGCAATGAGATAGCTGATAGATTAGCAAATGAGGCCGTGAACTGTGGTGACATGCATCCATATAAAAATTTTAGCCATGACCTCTTGTCTATAGCCAAGACTGATCTTAATAGTGCCTGGTGTAATATTTGGGAAAATAGCTCAAGTAAAAAAGGTAAATTTTATGCTTCTATTCAACCACACATCTCTGTTAAACCATGGTACCGTACTGCTGATTACGGAAGAAAGGCTATTTCAATAATAATTCGCATGCGACTTGGACATGTTTGCACTCCTGATCATCTCTTTAGACTTGGTATTATTAACAATAACATTTGTGACTGCGGTAAGGGTATTATTGGCGAACTAAATCACATCATTTTTGCTTGTTTAAAGTATGATCGCTCCTTCTTTTTAAATGACCTAATATCAATTAAAATTCCTTTCCCAACTTCCGTATCCTCCTTGCTCGCTACGAATAACCCATCTGTATATAAATCCCTAGCAAAATTTATTATTTTCAACAATATTAAACTGTAATATAATTTATTTCTATCATTCCTTTACCTACCTTATGTTATAATAATATCCTTCATCTTATCCTTATACCCTTCTAATCCTTATTATTCCAAATTCCCGTTAACCTTAAACTTTATCCCTTTCCTGACGTTTCCCTAACTTTACTCAAAAAATAATGTCATTGGCTAAATGCACAAGCCGTGCGAAGCCAAAAAAAAAAAAAAAAAAAAATGTCTATGGTAGATGGAGACATGACACCTGACAGAAACTGTCATTACAACAAAGAGTAAAGATACTAATGTTTTAATTAATCTTTAATTCATTTCATTTTTATTTTACATGTTGGAATCACTTCACATTGGCAAAATTGTGTGAATGCGCAGATATGCCATTAATAAAAGAAGAAGAAGACTAAAGTATGTACCTACATATCAGGGAATTACAAGTGATTGAGTAAAGTTTCGTTTGTGCTTACCCTCTTCGCTTTATTTGTAATATAAACTCTCCTTTTTCGAAGTATTTTTCTTTGTAGAAGATGCCTAGGAAATTGGTGTGTTGTGTTACACGCATTGTTAAAGTACGAACAGGATGCTATTCTTTGTAAAATTCTAGTGAACGAGAAAAGATTCTCCAAGTGGTTACAATGTCTTAGTGCTGTGTGTGATACTGAAAATTTGAATCCAGGCAAAAGTGTCATTTGTAGCAAACACGTTGTACCACGATTCATTACTCCAAAATCACGACTCTTGGGTGACGCACATCCATCATTGTTTAATGATGACGGGCTCTCAATCAGCCTACCCTCTTCAAACAATACTGGTAAGGCTGGTTTAATCTGCTATTACCTTTAGATAATGTAATTAAAATTTGTTTTGGAATACCGCTATTCTTCATTAGATTTTTTTGTTATTACAGAAATTATATTCACTTGAGAACACAGCTATGTAAGAAAAAGTCATGTTGACCACACATATTAGAAAGTGGAACTGAACAGAGGTTTGTTTTTAATTTATTTTATTTAGATAACAAAGTTCATGCTGCAGTTTTGGTGTATTTTAACATAGATTTTTGCTTTAAAAAAGTCTAGTAGATCTGTCTTTCTTACACAAATAAAGAAAATTTACATTAAGTTATTTAACTCTAGTGGGCATGCTAGAAGTGATTTTGATCAGAGAAAAAATTTATAATATAAGTAACATATTTCTAATATCATCTAAGATTATATCCTGTTTTTTAATCTTACACACATAATCAATATTGATTTCATAGGTGGTGTAATATTCAAAGAACAAATTGAGACTCCTGTGTCTACAGCCACTGAGTTTACTTTCGGAGATTAAAATTTGACACAAACTAAATTATCTGGTAAGACCTGTCTCTTTCTTTAGTGTATCTTTATTTCAATCAAATAGTAGTTCTAATAGAGAAATTCACTGAATACTTTTGATGTTACAGACCCTGTGAAATGTACCAAAACAAAAAGGAAAAGGCTTATTACCAAATAAAGCCAATTGTCACCGTTATACCAGAGAATTTATGAAGAATATAACAAGCCAAAGATGTAGTTGAACTTTCATAAAAAAGTTAAGAATACTTAAATACCTTTAAGTTTTGTAAAAAGTTATCATTTGAAAAGTTCACAAAAAAAATGAACACAGTTGCAAAAAATGTTTTTGAAATGCAAGTGAGCATTAAAAATAAACATGAGAGGTGATTCACTACCGAAAAAAAGATAATTGCTTTATCAATATCAAAGCAGAGTCCAAAATGTTATTGATTTTTAAGCAAATTTTTTTATTTTATCATCCAAAACCACACTGAATACTATGATTGGAAAATTAATCATAGAACCAGGCTTCATGTAAGAGGTAAATATATTCCATATAAGGTTTTTCATACTACTTTTATGACTTTTTGTATTACTACTAAATAATAATATATACCTACCTATTTGAATTTACTTTTTCAGGTGGACAAATGGAACTCCAAAAAAATATGCTCCATTATATTTGATGAGATGTCATTAGAAACAGCACTTTCGTATAATAAAAGTAATAAGGATTAAAGATAACATTAATGGATTTGTAGAACACCAAGAAAAGAAAGTGAATTTTGCAGATCATACTCTTATATTTATGTTGGTGCTGTTTACAAGTGGCAACAGCCTTTATGTTACTATTTCTGTCAAGGAGCTACATCTACTGTAAACATCAAGAATATTTTAAAGTCAGTAGTAGAAAAAGTTGTTGAATTGGACCTTAATCCCATCGCAATAATATATGACCAAGGCTCAGCTTTCCAATCAGCACTCAAAAATCTAAAAGAAGACACTAAGTGTGATCAAATTTTAAAATGAAATTACAGGTTGGTATAGAGAATTATATTTATATAAAAGAAAACTAATAGATTTAATGAAAGCAGTGAAGGTTCTTATTATTATATTGTTATCAATGTTTTAAGAAGTTCTTAAATTTTTGTTTCAGTTGGCATTCTTAAAATATGTGGGGTGGATTTGAACATTATTCAAATTCAAATTCATTTTTTCAAATTCAACATTATGATTCTACACACTTGATAAAATGTATTAGGAATAATTTTGGTGGTAAACTTGCAAAATGGCATGATATTTTTTATGTCTATGAGACAGACTGTCAACACACTAAAGCTGGGCTATGTCATAAATTAAGTGACCAATGAGTTATACCTGATAAAATTAAAAAGATGAAGGTAATGCATTGGTTATTATATTAGTATAACTTAAATTAGTATAAATAAAATAAATAATTTGTATTCAGCTTCTATATTCTCTATCGGAGCAAGTGTTGATTCAATGACCTGTGTTTTTAATTATGTAACAAGTAGTTAATATAGATTACACTTAAATTACAATAATGATTCTCTAATGAAGATAATTTTAAATATGATATCTCTTTTTGCAGGTAAAAAATTGTGTAAAAATATGTCTGCAGCTTTGTCTTACACTGCAAATTTCTGTGAGTATTAGATGATATTTACTAACAGTTAATAGTTTTGAATCAAGTTTCATACAATTATTATATGAATATTTTAATTTGCAGCAACTTATGAGGATGTGCACAACATTAAGAAATGCAGCTGATGTTTCATTCTTTGACCAATTATTTGATAGTGTCAATGGAGCATCGACAAACAAAAAAAGCATAAAGGAAAAGAGCTGTGACAGATAAGACACACCATCATTCTTTCTGGCCAAAGGCAATTTCAATTTTAGAAAAACTTAAATATGTGTATAAAAAGGTATGCAAAAATCAGTGCCCTCTTTCAAAAAAATTGTGATTACCTTGAAAAGTTTCATAAGGTTGTGCCACTAAAAAACGTAGCTAGGAATTGCCGAGAATGCAGAAGAGAGCTGTGAAAAATATAATAAGTTAAAAAATAAATTATTCAATAAATAATATTGGAAAAATGTGTGTTTTATTTACGTGTTCATTTTTCCTTTTTTGTTTTAATACAACAATAATAAGCTAGACTTATCAGTCTGCTTTATTATTATTGTTGTATTAAAACAAAAAAGGAATTCAAAGTAAAAATAATGTGGAAACTAGGAAGATGGCTAAGTACCTACCCAAAACAGGGCTGTATAGCTAAATGCCTTTGCCGATAGTAGATCTATATATTTAAAACCAATGAAGCTGTCATGTATCACTGGCTCCCAATCACGTTCTACGAAGAAATTTTTTGTTAGGAAGTTGGTCGTCTGATACCTACTAAGTCTGTGGTTCGTTCGTTCACGTATTTTTATAAAAATTGAATCATAAACATAAAATGCTATAATACACAATCAAGGCACATAAGTAATGTTTTAATTCCCTTAGGCACTCATACGCACAATTTATCAAACCTAAAAATTGCACAACCATTGTAATATTTTAAAATAATGGTTTTCAAATGCCAGGAGGACAGTTTTTTGAAAGAAGTGAGTTAGAAATTATAAACACAAAACTTCCAAATAATTAATATTATTTATATATTGTTTTTTGATATTTATATTGTAACAGGAATAATTGCAAATACTGTGCACATATTAAACTTTATTTATTAAAAAGCAATAAAAACCTCGTTAAATATTAACAATAAAAGCTTCGTTAAATATTTCAGTTTACAACCAAAGTAGTGAAATGCGAAGAAACTACAGAACCAATAGTGGAGTATGGTAAGGTGTCACAGTTTGAAGGTTACCAAATAATCTTGGAGAATACAATTCTCTTTCCTGCTGGAGGAGGACAGGTAAATAGTAATAAGATGAACAGTTAAATACAAACTGATAGTTAACATTTCCTATAGAAACTTCTCACTCATAATTTTTGTTAAATACAAATATAAGACAAGTACCTATTGTTCAAACTTGCTCACTGCCCATGACTGCTCAAGTGATTATGACTGTTAAAGTTAACCAATGTCATTACCTTCATCCCTTAGGGACTTAAAAATCCTTTTTAATGAACCTTTACATTGTGATAATGATTATCATGCCAAATTTCAGGACAACTTGACCAGTAGTTTGAGCAGTATATTTACATATCTTTTTTTTATTAAGTACCTATATTTTGAAAATGTGATAATTAAAACCTTCCAACATTTTTATAAAGCCCCATGATATTGGCTGGTTGAATGAAAAAGAAGTTGTGCAAGTGTTACGCAAAGGAGATGAAGCTATACATTTCACAAAGGAACCGCTAGAAGTTGGAACCAAAGTCTCACAGAAAATTAATTGGGAGAGAAGATTTGATCATATGCAACAACATTCAGGTTATTAAATAATTCTCTCATAAAGTTAATTGATGATTGACCTTTGCTAATTTACAATGCCATCACTGTGTTGGCAAACATGTTAAAAAAATTGACTATAAACCACTACATTGACCCTATGCTACTTGCTCTGCTTGGTCAACATTAACAACTACAGATGCAGCCAGGACCAATGGCAAACATTCCTTTTAAAGTATGGAGGATATTGATGTAGTATATTTTTGTTGCTTAATCAATGTATTTGCCAGAAGAACATATTTCCCGCAACATTGCATAATTAGAGCTTATTTGTGAACCATCAAGTATTTATGTTCCTAATAGGTCAAAGAATTTTTATGAATGGATTGGTATTTCTGAAGATTGCCACCTACATACAAAGTTCGAAATTTAACTCTATGATTTAAGTAAGCACCACAATTTAAATATTAGACATTACAAATGTGAGATAATAATAACCTGCTACATACATCATATTCAGGTCAGCACCTTCTATCAGCAATCCTTGAGAAAGAACACAATCTACCTACAACCAGTTGGTGGTTAGGTGCAGAAGAATGTTATGTAGAGCTTAATAATACCAAAGTCACTAATGAAGTAATACAAGCAACTGAAGATAAATGCAATACTCTTATCAGGGAAGCTATTCCAGTGAATGTAAAATTCTGTAAAATCAATGATCCTAATTTAGATGAGGTAAACACTTTTTTTTTTAAATTGTATGTTAAAAATTGGTACTGATAGCAGAAATGTCATATTTTTTCAAGGCACATACTAGAGGACTTCCGAAGGATTGTATTGACACAATAAGGGTGATTTGTATTGGTAACATTGATGAAAATATGTGTTGTGGCACACATGTATCAAATTTAAGGTAATTTTTATCATTTTTGAAACCAAACAGTTTTCTGATAACGTACACTAATAATAAAAAACCAAATTTTACATTTCATAACTGAAATAGTAAGTATTTGTGTTGATTCTAAACATCTACTTTACTTTATAGATCGCGGTAACACCTAGTGCTAGTATTTGTGTTGATTCTAAACATCTACTTTACTTTATAGATCGCGGTAACACCTAGTGCTTTTTTCATTAACCTAGAACAAGGCATATCTTAACCGTAAAACACTATGACATTGCATACTTCAGTTCCTCTTTTTTAAATGCATGACATGTTTGCGTTTACACAATTTGGGCAATGTCATGTTAGTAGCCTTTACACATATAGAGACAATTACAAAAATAAATGTTTTGAGAAAAATATATTTGGTCTTGTATTAAGAATAAGCTTGAAACCGGTTCAGAATAAACTGTTTTAATTTAGGTAAAACCTGTTCTCTTGTAATGTTCCGTTCCGGATTGGAACTAAATGCGGAGTTAAATTCGGATGGAAAAAAACCGGTTAAATCATAAAAAGTAATGTTCTTACGCTTTTAATGCAAATTATATCATTTTTAAGCGACGACATCATACCTATGTACGGATGTTATAGATATGAGTATGGGCACTTAAAAACCGCGCTGAAGTTTGTTAGATCATTGTCTGGATTCATATTTAAATCGTATTTAAACCGTATTTTTAGTGAACCGGTTTAAAAACCTGTTCAAAGGAGCTTAACCTTTTATGTAAAGTTCCGCATGTACTTACGTCAAACCGGTTCTAAAAATAAACCTGTTTCCAAGCCCTGCTTGTATTTATTTACACGAGCATTAAAGTCATTATTGTCCATTTATAAAAATCTAATCTTGTTTATATCTTAATTCTAATATATGAACTCCTTAAATCCAACTTACTACATTGTTTTTATCCCTTGAAACATCCGTTAGGGCGCTTGTGCACTACACTGAATTTTCAGATCCGGCGGTCCTATTTTTTCCGATCCGGAATGACATGAAAAACCCGGATGAGTAGCTTGTGCACTTGTCCGTTTTTTTCCTGATCGGAGCGGCGCAGTGTAGGGCAGCTCTCTTTGAAGCTACACGTCACTCACGCTAGGTACGATGAGATTTTTGAAACGTCGTTAATTGCGTTCGTAGACGTAGAAAGTTGCCTAAATAACGACCTGATCATTTTACATAAACCATAATAAATTGAGACAAAACGAAAGCATTTTTTTTACTACAATCGGATGACTACTATCAAATGTAAAAACTTATACCCTTACTAATTTAGGGACAACATTATTCACATACAATAGCTAAAAATATCTGTTACATTAGAATAAAATTACTGATAATGGTACTTGATGTTTAAATTTATAAACATGCTATTTATTTTTTCGAAGTTTTGTGAAAACAACTTTAAGCGATTACAGAGATAGACTAATCGGTGGCGCCATTTCGTAAACAAATTTAGTGCCGTGTAAGCGGAGAATTAATATGTTAAATGAACTTTACGAGATCAATTGACTGTATTATATATAAGCATAATTTTATACGCGTGGTGTAGTTTCTTTGAGCAGAAATATTTTTCCCTTAGAATACTTCTTTTTTTTTAATTTATTTATGACACAAACAGTCATTTCAAATTTCATTAAATACGAAAAAGACATTGAGTGTCACTTAATTACTTCTGTTATTCTTCTGTTTATTCTTTATTATTACTTCTGTTATTAAATATTTATCTATACTTATCAATTGTCTAAAAAAATTTTGATAATGCAAACAAATTTCCAGGCAAACTTTCATCCCCTATTTTTCGCGATAAAATGTAGCCTATGTCCTTTCTCAAAGTTAAGTCTATTTACTATATTAATTTCCATTAAGATAGCTTCAGTTGTTAAGGCGTCTAAGCGTAACAACACTCATTTAACTTATCTTAAGTTATCGATACTCTAAAACGATTCTAAAATCTAGCTAAGTATCGATACTAGAACCATACGCTGATCAAATTAGAACTATACCGAGTTTGCCAAACCATATGCAGTGATATTTACCAACTAATTAAATCATCATATAAAATGTAGCATTTTATAATCTACAATAAATATCGATTATAAGTTTATTGGAAATTAACAATATAGCTGAAATATATTTCGATTATACACAAATCGATTATTTTTTCCCAAGCCTATTTCACGTTTTTCATTGCCGCCATCACGGACCTGAAAAAACCGGTCCGGAATAGAGAAAAGTAAAATCCCGGACGGTAAATTTCCTGACAGTGCACAAGCTAGCATTACCTTTATATGGCCTGACATATCGGACCTGAAAAAATCGGACCGCCGGACATGAAAATTCAGTGTAGTGCACAAGCGCCCTTAATGGCCAAAGCCCAGCGCTAGGCGCTAGTCTTGTGCATTTCAGTGTGTCAACATTTCGTTCAGTTAACTTTTTCGGTCTAACAGTTCTGTTAGTTCTAATAGGTCTGAAATATATATTAAACAACATCACATACATTGCTCAGATTCCAATATGAGTAGCTAGATTATCCGAGACAACGAAGGTCCAGATCCAGATATGAGACAATATAGAAAAGTTCTAATCTGCCTGTAACTATAGGCAGAATAGAATTAAAACCCGTTAGAAAGGATTTAAACAGACGAGTCGAGGTTGAGTGTTGGATTTTATAGGGATGATGACTATTTTTTTGTTTGTCCGTCGGGTAGATTATTGAGAATATTAGGTAGGAGACACCCCACCAAACCATGACGTATGCTAGATGATGGCCTCGCTGAACTTTGGCCACTACCTCGGAAGCTTCTTTAGAGCTGTGTGCATACACTCGATCATTTTTTTTTTTGTTGTAGTGCTCCTCGTTTATAAAAAAAAAATTCATCGGTAAAGAGAATTTTTCTGTGTTTTTCGTCCGCGTATTGAAGTAACAGCTGTTTCAATCTATTTAGTCTCTTTCGTTTAAGTGCCTGATTTAAGGTATGTCCTGTGTATCTGGTAAGCCCCCTAGACCTAAGTCTTGTTTAATAATACGAGAAAGTGTTCTAGGTGGGATTCTCATTTCTCTGCAAAGGATTTTCTGCTTCCTTGTGAGATTCCTTATACGAATTCTGGCCTTGACTGCCTTACCGCCTGGTTTGTTCGAAAAGACCGCGGTCGGTCGGATCCCTAGCTTTTTCAATGTATCAAAAATGTCGGCTGGTTCCTTACCTACTTTGTACAGTGCAATTACTGCAATCCTCTCTTCAGTGCCCCACTCCATTTCCAAAACAAATAATTTCTAAACAAAAAAAAAAACAATAATGGCGGGAAAGAAGTCTATTTTTTATCGTTTGAAGCTAATCTTCGAAATTCAAATTAATGTTTTTTTTAAATGTATGTAAACAACCAGTAACAGAATTTATGGATAGATTGGTTATTAGCAAACCAAATTACTAAAAATAAGTATTATTGCTTTGACATACGGCTCATGGTGCCTTATATCACGAAAAGCGACTGAATAATCCGATTAACTTATTAGAGATTCTAGTGAAGCTCATATGTCTGAAACGTTTCCTAACCGTACATCATTCGTGATCTTCACTAGGTTAGTAGTCGCTAGGCGCCGCACAATGTCCTTACTCTATGCGTTGCTTAAAATCGTTAGGTGAAGCGCATTTTCACCTTTGACTATACCAAAATATTTAGGTGTCAGATTTGGGTGACTCCTAAGTTTAGTGAAAACGGGCATTAAATATGCTTACTTATTTAAGAAACATAAATATTTAAATGCATTCCTAGTCAACCCTCGCCGCACACTTGACACATAAACAAATAATAAAAAAACCCGTTTTTTAACTCTACTAAATTATATTTTTATGCTTTGCTATTTTAGTCAACTGCAAGTAATAAAATTACTTGGCATTGAGCCAGGCAAAAAAGGCAAAACTAACTTGAAATTCTTAGTAGGCAATAGAGTTACAAAGACATTACAACTGATGCTGGACAGAGAAAAAGCATTAACAGGATTACTCAAGTAAGTAATACAAGAATTTATTCCAACTAATAAACATACAGAATACTTGAAACTCTATATAATTCCTAATTCTTACCACTATAGAAATGAACCCAGCAAGCATGAGGAACTAATACAAAAACTTCAAAAGAACCTTAAGATTGCAAATAAAAATGTTTCAAACTTATTGTCAGAAGTGGCTCAATACGAAATAGAGAAGATAAAGAATGCCCAAGAAAAGCCAAAATTCATTTTTATGTTTAAAAAGGATGCAACTCCAGAGTTCAATAGAGCCGTTTGTAAAGGATTAGAAGAAGATAATCTGTTTATGTTCTTTGCTTCTCAAGAAGCAGACAAACCCAAAGAGGGGCAAATAATTATACAAGGACCTGAAGAACACTGTATAGTTTTAGGGCAAAAGTGAGTTCAACTTTTAAACATTGCTATTTTTATTTGTGAAATTATTCATTTAACTGGATTTTGGAATTATTAATTGATTATTCATATCTTAGATTCTACAATAGAATATAATGTACATATATTAATAGTAATGTTTTTCTTATTTCAGAATAACTGATATACTAAAATGTAAAGGTGCATTTAAAAATGGCAAATACCAAGGAAAAGCAGGTGATTTAACTGGTATTGCCAAATGCAAAAAAATAATTGAGAATTACTTTAATGATATTTCATAGTTAATAAATATCAAGTTTATACTTGGAAATCGATTTTATTTAAATACCCATTAATCTTACATTATTTATAAATAATAAATGTAATAAACAATGATAAATGCTATTAAATAAATAACAGGGAATGACATAAATAATATTTATCCCTAAGGTATCCTGAATGTAAAAATCATTAGCAATGATTTCATTACACTAATAATAATTTGCAAAACAACCATTCATAATTTATTAAATGTGTGCTAATAATCAAATTTTACTACTCTCAGTATTTTAACAATAAAAATTATGTAAATAATCATGTGGTTACATATATATGGAAAAAGATGCCTTTAATATTTCTCACTTAACCATTATAGATTCTCTACGTTTTTATTGGTTGTAGGAAATGTGTACCTAATAATTATGCATAAAGAATCATGTCCACTTTCCTTACATTAATTGCCCTGCTGCATGCTTTTATAAAGGTCGCATCTACCCTCCTCCACACATAATTGAAATTATTTTTGGCATATAATAGAAACCTATTTTAGCATCTTTTCATCTGGAGGCCAAGGTGATTCGCATATTACATGAAATTGAACAAAGTAAGCAAGCATGGCAATTGGGTCTAAATCATATTGAGGTAGTGTAGCAAACTGTCTTTTAGAGTTCAAATTGCATTAGGGTAGTTATCATAGTAATATTAAATAATTATTATAAGCCTTGCAATTTTTATCTTGACCCTGTTTTAATATTTTATTTTCTGATATAAAATAAGTAAAAAATAAGCTTTATTCTGAGATATATCATATCACTAGATGCTTTAATAAATTTTTAGGTTACAATTGAACATGATCCTTTTTTAATAACATATAGTTAAAAGGGTTCATTACTCACTAAATATTATAGTACTAATTACTGACAGTTTTTACTGCTGCACTTCTTGCATACCTGATTTTTTTGTGGTGTCTATTAAATTTTTGATCTCAAGATTGGTCCAATCTTGGGAAACATCATCCAGATAATTGTCAAAGTCAATAAGATCTACAAAATGATATTTCTGAAGGAACATTGATGTAGTTTCTAAGGCATATGGATCCGCTGGAAAAAAAAATTACACACTTAAACTTTATTATGCCAACAGTACCACAAAAACTTTTTATGTATAGATATTCATTATTGAACCTACCAAAAAAAAACATATCAATATGAAAGGTAAAAAACTTGGCCACTAAAGACTTACGTAGGAAGATGTGCTTATTGATTTCTTTTGGTTTCCATTTCCCCTCGGCATGTTTATGCAATTTTAAAGCTGGCGTGTCCAGGTGTTGAACAATTCTTTTGTTATCAACCTATCAATTAAAAAATACAGTTAACAAATAAATGTCAATATTTTTACATGTGTAACTTTTCTGATTTCATCTAAGATAAATGACTGATTCAGCTATTTATTATAATTTTGACCCATCTTACTGGAACTAAAACTAACCACAATAAACACAGCAGATGGAAAGTATTCTGCAATCTTCTCAGCAATTTTTTGCCCAGGGCATTTATCTACAGTATTATCTCTATAGTTTTCGCATGCTGCATAGAAACCAGCAATGATGCGATTATCTGCTTGCGCCATAGTTTCGATCTGTTCAAGGGGGTATGAAAAACGAAATTAATAAAAATTGGATTGGTTGATACTGATTTAAAACAATAAATACATCTACATACCTGAGTAAGAGCTACCTCAGCCATAGGTGAAACATAGTGGCTGTGGTGGAATAATGGAATGGAATCGACGATATCTAGGTCCTGATTTTTAGCACCTTCTTTTATTTTGGTACCATCGGCTAAAAGGATACCGTTAACAGCGCAATGAGGATATTTCGCAGCATGGAGAATGATTTTAGCGTAAGCTACAGTTTGCATCGTAACTTCACCCATGATAAAGTATCATAAAATTCGAAATGCCCGTGATGTCACGGGCTGGATAGCTAAAAAGTTACTTATATAAATCTTAAATTTGTGAATGTGAACTGAATCAAATGAACTTTAAATGTTTACACGAATTTTCAATTCGGTTTCTTACGATGATTTTCGTTCGTTCATGTGCTTCCTCAACTAATGTCACAGACAGGCACTTATTATACTCTTTGGTCACAGATTAACATCATGATCGATCTGTCAGGTGAATGACATTGACACTTGACAATATTTTTCTACTGACTATCACGAATGCATAGAGTAAGGTAGAGTGGAAATATTTTCTATGGTTATATAAATATCATGCAATCTGAAGTTGACATCAAAAACATCATGTTGTCTTTTTTTAACTAATAAGAAGTTTCTTTAGTGAACAAAGATAACACTAGTGTGACAGTTCAAAATTTTTTACGTGACGTCATGAGATATAGCTATCGTACCACCTGCCAGCCATTTGCAAATTTGCTTTGCGTATTCTCGGAAGTAGTTCAGCTGTCAGTGTTATAAGTTTTGTGGTTATTTTCATTTATAACTTTAATTTATATAACTTTCATGGCAGAAAATTGTAAATTATTTATGCAAAACAATGCCTAGGTGCTGTATAAGTGGTTGTGCGTCATCAATATCCCGCAAACCGAGCAATATTACGTTTCACCGGTAAGTTAAACACTTTCTTGGAATAACAGTATTTAAAACGTAAGTAAGTTATTCTGAAAATGATTGCGTGTATAAATCGATACATATCGTATTTTGGCGTGTTCTATTTATGCTATATTGCTCTTTTCGTTTATATTTTTATAATATTTCGGTCCGTAAATAATATTGTTTACATGGCTAGTGTCGTTACTTTAACATTGGTTTATATCGATAATTTTAATATTTAAAAATATATTAATTATTTTAGATTACCAAAAGATGAAACAAAAGAGGAAAATGGCCGAGTTACATAGAAGCAGAAAATATTAAATGTAATGAAAAAGTTACTTTTATCTGCTCACTTCATTTTAGGGAAAGTTGTTTGAATCGAACTTTAAATATAATAAAATTACGAGATGATGCATTGCCAATCAAATACTCTGATAAGAATTTTTGACAATTGCTTTTAACTTATTTAAAAAAAAATGTCTATTACACTTAGTTAATTTTCATTTGATTTTACTGATTTATTTATTTAGTTTTTTATATAGTCATTTTGTTATTCTATAAATGTACCTTATTTTTAGTCTTGCGGTCATATGACGACTATTTTAATTGAAAAAAATCAGAATGCAATATATAATAATATTAAAATATAAAATTCTGATCATAATATACTCCCAGTAAAATATACAATAAAATGAGTTAAATAATTTTAATAAAAATTAAAATATGCACACTTATCAAATTAAAGGCATAGTTAAAGGTTTTCTTTGCTGTTCAATAGTATAATCTTAATACCCAAATAATTATTTTGCGGCGTGGATGTTTATTTTGCTGATGCATCATAAAATACGCTACCTTTTTGAATTTAAATTGCTGACCGTTATCATGATTGTTCACAGAACATGAATTGCAGACTGTTTTAGTGCTGAGAAAATATTTGTATGCTTGCCTATTGATTAATCGGCTGTTTTCTTCTTGCTAACCAAATTTTTAAATAAAATGCCAATTGTGACTTCTTTAATAATGTTACTGTTATGCCAATTGTTACTTATTCATCACCAACCTTTATTTTCTCTTGTTTATTCATCAAAGTTTACAGTATTTTTATGTTCTTTTACCAATAATACAATACAAAGATTATGTAGGTGTTTCAAGTTTTCTATGTTTACTACTAAACAAGATGTTCTGAACTAATATTGTGACACAGTACGCACGGTATCTCACTTAATGAGGAGGAAGCGAAATTTATTCAGTCAAAACAATTTATTGAATAAATTTATAGACAAGTTGCCTTACTAGTTACAAGCATATAGGAAAGTCGAAACTCTGTGCTTATAGTTCAGCAATCTATTACGGGAAACCTTGTACCGAGAAAAGAAGAAACTGTAAGAAAGGAACCGGTAAGAAACTGCAAGGGCTGCTTTTGCACCCTGTTTAATTTCGTACTGAAAAATAAAAAATGACTTCATTGGACCAAAATGTCACTTTCCACCAAAACAATAAAAAATATATAACAGACAAAAAAAAACATAATAATTCATTCGTCAATCGACTCATTTAAAGCTTATTATAGTTACCATGACAGTTATCTTGGACAGTGGTCACACTTCCCGTGAATGCAAAATTAAACTTATGTTAAAAAAACTATTTAATTATAATTGCAAAATGTCAACTTGACAATATATATGGAAATAATTATAAAACACGATTGATATTATTGTAAAACTTTTAAGATATATATTTTGGTACTATAGTTCTTAAAACTATGTAAAATTGGCTATATTAGAGGAAAAAGAAACATATTTATGGAGGTACAATCATATTATAAAATTATAGTATTAAATAATATAAATGTGAAAGTTTGTGAGGATGGATGTTGGTTACTCTCATGTAAAAACTACTGAACGGATTTTGATGAAATTTGGAATACGAATAATCTTTTACCCGTGGGAAGCGCCATCATACGCTGGTAATATATGTTATATTTACTATAGTGACGCAACGGAGTCGCAAGAACAAAGAGCGCAAGAAATTTTAGATGTCCAACAAAATACGAGCAAAAGATTGCTTAATGATTTATAAATAATTGATAAATTCACGCCACTTTTAAAAAAATATTATTTTCTTGATACTGGCGTGAATTTTTCAATTTAATTAATAATAATCATAAATAGGATTGGTACGTAAGTGTGAAATGAATAGAAGTGTAATAGGTAATAGTTTAGCCATGCCCCTAACAATGAAAATTATATTATATTATTTAATTAGTAGTAGTATTGTAGCAGTTTCACGAAATACTAACTTTTATTTAATATGACTTCATGTCGATACAAATATCGATATCTTGGGTCACGCCCTATGACAATCCGCCATCGAAGAATTTGCATTTGAAGTTTAGGCATATACGCTTTTTTCGTAGGTATGGCCGGTCCTCTTCTTTTATGTCTATGCACGAATGTCAAGTTAAACTGGATTGCGTACTGACATATTTCTTAAAATCAAACTTACACTTTATCAATTATAACATAAGGCTTATTTTTCTATGTCACATTTCAGAGTAGAAAAACGGTCTACTAGAGATATTAGATTTGTAGTAGTAGGTCCTTGTCTAACAAGTTGCCATTGGAAAATTAAATAATCATTATTGGCAATTAGGAGATTTTATGGTTTTTTTAAAGACATCACTAGGTAATTTTAATTATTATCTAATAGTAAATATATTGAATAGACATAGTTGATATGTTTTTTAAGTAAAAATGTGAATTAATTAAAATAATAATGTTAACCGATGTCGTGTTAGTAGTTTTTCGTTACATTTAAGTGGCAATATTATAAATTAATATGGCCGCTCGATGTGACAACATAAACAATGTTTGATGTTTATTTGTGTTTTGACTTACTAATTCGATTATTTACATCAAAATGGTATATTGTTTTGCTTGGCTGATTGCGAAAATGAATGGTATCACGGATGTGACTTCACATTCCACAGGTAAGCTGTTTTCCTTATTTATTAAACAGTGATGAAATAGGGTGTCTACGATCAAGAAACAAAACTTTGATTTAAATTAATATTCATATGTTTATATTGTAAACATTTATAAGTTTTACTTACGCTACCCGTCATTCTTCGTTTTAATCTCTGTAAAATTTACTTGCTTAACATTACAGTAAAAATGTTTATTAATAAGTCATGCACTGCGAAATTAATATCATAAATTCAAGAAGCTTGAATATTTTCACGGTAGGTACAAAGTTATTTGGAAAATGAAAAACGAGAACTAGCTTATTTATGTTTTGGAAAATATCTGAATGGCCTACGCATTAGTTTGTATAAATATTTATAAAGTAATAATTTTCTTATGCTGACCATGACAAAATTGCTCTTGTGTTTCTAGGATCCCAAAGGATAAAAGTCTAGCTGAAAAATGGAGGACAATAATACCAGCCAAAGTTATAAAATGATGCGTTGTATTCTAATACAATTAATGAAAAAAAAAACGTTTCTATCCTTTTAATTGATTTATACATTAAAGATGATTATAATAACATTTATGTACTTGTTTTATTTCCTACAAAATAAATATCGGTAAAGCGATAAATAAAAACTTATTTATCGGTTACATTTCTAACATCATCATTCATAATATCTGTAAAAATTTATAAAATTCTATCTGTAAATGTTTAATTTAGGTCATGTAACATTATCATGTGACAAATGTTTTTAGGCATTCACCGTTGCCTCGCATTTCTGCTGCATATAATGATGTCGGTTCTTATTTGCCTAATCTAGATATATTTTTCAACTCGCAGTTAAGTTTTAAAGCTCAGATTCAGGAATTCTTTAGTTCTATTGACTAGATTGGGTTGGGTAAGGGACTGGGTTTGACGTGCTCTCTGAAAGCCTGTGATCTGTGTTACAGGTATTTTGATCTGACTTTTCACTGACTACTGGAGAGTGCCTTAGCCTTCTTATTGGTGTTTTTATCAGTGGTTGAGTGAATTGTAGGTGTCGTCTAAAATTACACTTATATGTTAACAATGCTGTGTCAACCTATAATTGGTATATATATTAAATTTAAACCTAACTGTAATTTACTGAAGTAAGTTGAAATATGTATGCTGTTGGTTGTCCATATGAAATAAATTATTAAATATTACTTATTTATGAAATTATTAAAAACGCGTGGACATCCTACTAAACTACTAAGACAGAGATGAAGAGTTACTAATTTACTCTCTCACTCTGCCCGTTTTTAATGAAACACTGCACAATCCAGTTTATTTTGACATTCGTGCTGACTATATCTTAAAGTACCGCGAATGTCAAATTAAACTGGATTGTGCAGTGTTTCATTAAAAACGGGCAGAGTGAGAGAGTAAATTAGTAACTCTTCATCTCTGTCTTAGTAGTTTTGTAGGATGTCCACGCGTTCTTAATAATTTCATAAATAGGTAATATTTAATAATGTTACATAACCTTATTTAAACATTTACAGATAGAACTTTATAAATTTTTACAGATATTATGAATGATGATATTAGAAATTAAACCGATTATATAGTTTTTATTTGTCGGTAAAGATATTTATTTTGTAGGAAATAAAACAAGTACATAAATGTTATCATAATCATCTTTAATGTATAAATCAATTAAAAGGATAGAAATGTTTCTTTTTCCTATTAATTGTATTAGAATACAACGGATCATTTTGTCACTTTGACTCGTATTAATGTCCTCCATTTTTCAGCTAGACTTTTATCCTTTGGGATCCTAGAAACATAAGAGCAATTTTGTCATGGTTAGCATAAAAAAAAAAATTATAAATATTTATTCAAACTAATGTGTCAGCCATTCAGATATTTTCCAAAACATAAATAAGCTAGTTCTCGTTTTTCATTTTCCAAATAACTTTGTACCTACCGTGAAAATATTCAAGTAAATAAAATATTCAAATAGTAAGAATTTATGAAATAAATTTCGCAGTGCATAACTTATTAATAAACATTTTTAATGTAATGTTAAGCAAGTAAATTTTACAGAGATTAAAACGAAGAATGTACATTATAATTTTAATTAATTCACACTTTTACTTAAAAACCATATCAACTATGTCTATTCAATATATTTACTATTAGATAATAATTAAAATTACCTAGTCATGTCTTTAAAAAATCAATAAAATCTCCTAAATGCCAATAATGATTATTTAATTTTCCAATGGCAACTTATTAGACAAGGACATACTGCTACAAATCTAATATCTCTAGTAGACCGTTTTTCTAATTTGAAATGTGACATAGAAAAATAAGCCTTATTTTATAATAGATTAAGTGTAAATTTGATTTTAAGAAATATATCAGTACGCAATCCAGTTTATTTTGACATTTGTGGTAAGTACTTCTGTCTACGGACTATATATATATATATATATATATATATATATATATATATATTTAAAGAAGGCAAACAAATCGATAGACTCATAAAGCCTTGAAATTATGGTGATTACTTACATGTAATCCTGTCAGAGGTTCAATATATTCGTTGAGTATTTTATACTCAAACGAACTTTTATTTGGTCTGACCTTCAATCAACCATACAACTATGTCTAACATTTTAAACTTATCAAAGACCATATAGGACCGAATAACTTCGAGGAGTATTGGACAAGTCTTTTGTAATACTATAATTCAAAATGTTAGTGGAATAAGATGATGTTTGTATCGCAATCGTAAACACTAATTAAGAGCCGTTTCTTATTTTGCTGTGAGATAAATAACTAGGCATTGAACAAATAAGATAAACCATAAGGTTATATTTTATAAATGACAAGGTTTTAATTTTTACATTTATTAGGCTAAATTTACCGGAGAATATTATCGAACCATGCCGGTGAAAAAGTTAATAGTTTTAGTATTGATTGATTGAGGTCAAGAAAATTATACCATCCAATTTGGATCGATCAAATATGACTTCATACCTATAGGTATTGGACATGTCCAATCCATATAATTTATGTATAAATATGGGTTTATGAAACTATCGGTCAGTTGCACAAACGTCCATTAAGGTTCTAATGAATGTCAAATTTGTATGGGTAATGTCGCTTTAAACTAATGAAAAATTTAGTGGACGTTTGAACAACTGACTGTATGATACCATGATGACATCAACTGACCTTATTGGCTTGCCATCTATACTTGCCGCTCAATGGATTCTCGAAGGCCTGAACTGGCCCAAACTATAGGTAGACTGTATGATTTTGGAATCCTTCGTGCTTTAAAAAAAAGATTACGTTTGACATTGACATATCTTATGACAGATTCCAATAAAATTGTAAAATCATAACAAACAGAGATTTTTGCTTTATATTCTTCGAAATTTGTTCGATGTAGATTATCAACAATCTTTTATTAATATAAAATGGATAAATATGATACGTCTCAACTAACAGAGTTTCCAAGATACGAGCCTGAATCCACACAAAGCGGTGTTTCAACATTTTTCAACAAACTATGGAAGTTACCTTTATTTTCACCCAGTGAAGGCTCCGAAAATATTCAAGACAAAAATCAAATAATTGCAAAACAAAATGCTGAAATGTGTGACGAACAAGGAAAACAAATATTTGATGATTCTAAAACTGAAACGGGATCTTATGCGGTGGAGTTAGAAGGCCGCAGTTTGTCAAACGTTCTGACACGTATCAGCAGTCTTATAGCGCTAGGATCTGGGGTAACAATAAGCATCAATTGAAAACCTACATTTAGTTAAAATAGAGAACAGATTCTAAAGCAATTTTAATGTATATGTGGTACAGATGTTATGTAAAAGTTTATGGTCACTAGAAAGAAATGCTGATTTACAATTTTAGGGTCAAGGGACCAGATATGCTGACACAGAACTGGCTCGTTACTGGATGCCTGATGACATTTCCCGTGAGTGTTATGAATGTGCGCTGAGATTCAGCACTCTTCGTCGCAGACATCACTGTCGTGTGTGCGGCCAGATATTTTGCTCAAGGTGTTGCAGTCAAAGAGTTCCTGGTGTGTAATAATTTTTAATATATATGTGTTTAGAATAAAAGAAATTATTTTAAAAATAGAAACCTATTTAGAAAGACTTCTGATTATATATTTGTTTATAGTGAAAAAAATGAAAAAATCTCTATTTACCTTATTATTAGATAAGGTAAATAGAGATTTTTTCATTTTAAAATAAACTAATTACTAATTACTGGAGTCCCCTTTTAAGCATGACAATGCCTGTACCAGGAGACTCTGCTCTTCAATAACATTTTTTTCAGAAATGTATTGTTTGTGGTTTTTTTTAAATCCATAATTTGATTTACTTGTTAAATTTGTCTTAATTACATCTAATTAAACATTACAAAGGCGTGTTTGTGTGTGTGTGTGTGTATTTGTGTGAGTGTGTTTTTGTGTGTGTGTTTTTGTGTGTGTGTTTTTGTGTGTGTGTTTTTGTGTGTGTGTTTTTGTGTGTGTGTTTTTGTGTGTGTGTTTTTGTGTGTGTGTTTTTGTGTGTGTGTTTTTGTGTGTGTGTGATTTTGAGTGTGTGTGTATTTGTGTGAGTGTGTGTGTGTGTGTGTGTGTGTGTGTGTGTGTGTGTGTGTAAAGTAGGATTGATTATCTATGTGATTGCAAGAATGATTCAGTATCGTTATAGTTTAGAGTCTTTATCCATTTATTTAATGTATGCAGTAAGTGGCTAGATTATTTTATTCTGGATAAGTATTGCAATAGCTCTATTGCAAGTTAAATCATTTTTAGATAGTGTTAGATTGTAGTAATAATAAAAAATTATTGCCTTTTTTATCCTTATTTTTTAAAGAGAAAACTGTAAATGTATATTAAAATACTTGCATTTATTTCATATTTGTGAAAATATGTGTCTCTAGAAGTGTGCGTGTGTACACTTTATTGTTTTGTTAGTTGAACTTTATTCGACAGTAAAAATTTTCTCATCGGTGAAGAGTATCTTCCTGGCATCATGTCTCGACAGCAATAGACAACGTTCGAGTCGTAACTTACGAATACGATCGTTTAAAAAGTGAACTTTTCTACGGCGACCTTAAGTTCATATTTCAGTATTCTGTTCACTGAAGCGCACGAAATATTAGTCTGCAGAGCGAGTTTCTTCTGAGTGCGACATGGATTTCGGCGAAGTCGCTCTCGGATGATTTTGATGTTCGCAGACGTCCTCACAGAGCGTGGCCGACCGCTCCTTTGGCGATCTTACAGAGAAATTGTCTCTTTGTACCGCTGTATTGTGTAATAGACGAAGTTACGGCTTACAGAAAAACTTTTCAGCTCGCGGAAAATCTGCATCGTTTTTTTTCCGCCTTAAATAGCGCAATGATAGTTCCATGTAATAATTTCGTCTCCTCCATCACGAGAAAATATAAACAAATGAGTTTGCGATATAAATAAATTAAAAGTTCACAAATTCAAAATCGGCAAAAAAAATTACAGCCAGTAACATTTTATTTTATTTTTTTCAGTTAAAAGTATCTCTTAAAAACTTATGAGATGTATGTGAACATGGGTGAAAAATATTTATAAATTATTAAAGTACTGGATCAAATTAATATAGACAACAGAGTGGTCTAAGTAATGCTCTTTTGGTCACTGGAAATTTAGGGGTCTAGTTTATTTCACAATAAAAAACCAGGAAGCCTAAATCATTGGTGGATTAAGTTTTTAAAATATTTGTAAATATGTATGTAACAGATAGAGCTATGAGAAAATAAACAATAGTAAAATGTGAAACTACCACACATCATATCACATTACTATACTATCTTACAATAATATTGTGGGTAACAGTGCCTGACGTGCTTTTGCCAGGACTCTGCAACATAGTTTGAAGTACTTTTTGTCAAATTGCATTCCACATGCCTATTTTGCCCAAATGTTTTTAAGGAAAGAATAGTATGTCTATGCCGTTTTATTCTTTTTAAGTGCTCTCATATCTTACAAAGCCTATGGAGGGGATAAACAAAATTTCTTTACACAAATTGCTCACGATTCGAATGCGTGACAGAGTGATTATAATGTTGTCTATTACGATTTTAACTTATTTTAAAACATTAGCATTCAAATCAGTATGATTAATAAACAAGTAATTAAATATAACTATTTCATACCCGGGAATTTATATTAAACATATAAATTGAAATGAGCTAGCTGATCACGGGCCAATTTTTATGCCCACGCCTGTGCCGCGGACATCCAATATGAGGCCTTACGGTGACATTTGAATTGTCACGATTCATTGCATACGCGTATGATTGATTTCTATTTTTAATTGAACTGCATGTGTGTAAAGTTTCTATTTTGTGTTTTAGGGCAAATATTTGGTTGCGCCGGGGGACTAAGAGTATGCAATTATTGTTGTAATGTAGTTCTCAGTTACTTAAAAGAAAATGACTTGACCGGTGAGATATCACCTGATCTGAGAACTCTACAAGAAAATTTGCAGGTACTTTTAAATTTACATTTGTGGACGACTAAAGCTTTTTATATCTGTGACATTTTGCATACAAAATTTTACTTAGCAAATAATTTTACTTAGAAATTTACATTAAATCTTTATATTCCATTAAAATAATTCCCAGTTGAATCAAATGAAAACAAAAGTGTTAATTAGTCTTCACTATGGCATTGCCAGCAGAGAAATAAGGTCCAAATTTAAGTTAATAAAATTAATAAAATTTTAACATGATGAACAATGATCTATATTCGCCATGCGTATCGCCATTCTGTATTTGTTTGTTATTGTCAATAGGTGAAGTTTCCCGACAACAGGAGTGGTAGCATAAAGTCACGTGACAACTTTATGTTCGCGAGCGAGCACGAGGAGAGGACTGAGGCCCGGCCCACGCCCACTGAGGCATTGCACGATCTGTACCGGCAACTAGTAACCGCGTTGCCTCAACAACAGCATAGGTACAGTACAACTGAATAACAACAACTGGCTCACTGATGTACACATGGCTGCATCTCAGGCTATTTTAAACTCAGTCGTCAAAATATTAACGACACTATAGAGTTTATTCTTTTTCACCGCATTATTTGCTCAAAAATAATGTCTAAATTTAACCAAATGTAACATTGTCCATTTACCAAGTATATAAGTTCAATATAGAAAAAAAGAAACCAAAACATGGAATGAATTTTATGCATACTAAAAATAATATTATTTCGTATTTTCATCCTTCGCTTCAACCTCCTATTCGCGATAGTATTATCCTATATTCTTTCCCACGGTCCACTTTAGCTGTGTAATTTCCATTAAAATTGGGTCAGTCTTTTTCAGACACACACAGGTTTCAACAGACACACACAGTTATTTCGCATTTATAATATTAGTATGGATATAGCATGTGTCAATCAGGTTCATTACACCTCATGTACATGTGCATTTCATCAAATGATATTAAACTTAACAATAGAATTATGTAGAGTTTTGTTGGCTTCGGATAGCCTGATGTGCGAAATGTATAAGAGTGTCATGATAAAAATAAATTGTTCGTAGGTATCGCCTGGTGAGATACAATGGTGTTTGGCGTGGGTGCGATATATTACAGTGGGTTATGGACAACACAAACTATAAAACTAGGTTCGTAAAAATTATATATATATATATATATATATATATATATATCTGCATTTTAGTAAATCGTTCTGCTTAATTTGATTAGTATTGTGCAATATGGGCTATGGTAATCCCACATAAAATACGGGAGTCCAACCCGATATTTAGACATCACAAATATAATAAGAAATCACTAAAATCTTTAATCGATATTCTAGAACTTGCAAAGTTGATTGTGATACTTTTAGTGAGTATTTTGAAGATGTTATTCTGAGTGCAAAATTCATTTAAAATAGGTAATAACTCATTTTAATGTTAATCAATAAATTGAAAAATTGTTTGTAACCTAAACATTGATGGAAATGTGCTCAATAGCAGAGAAATAAACAAGTGCTTAAGCAATTCACCATTCACGTTAGGTCTCTGCTAGCACACGACCAGTCACTAAGAGATCGTTAGTTTGCGTTGGATACTTGAGACAGTATGTTTTTGCAAAATATTTGCAAAAAACCTATCTCGAATATCACGGCGCGAACTAGCGGTTTCTTACTGACCTTAAGTCCTCGAGCGGCGGCCACAAAACGGAAAACGGATCGTAAGCAGGCCTCAAGATAGATTTGGAGAAGATAATTCTAGTCAAGATCTCCGGGAAACGTTTGATTAGGACCGCGTGAGACCGATCGTTGTGGAAATCTTTGGTCTAGTATTGGACATTTTCCGGTTGATTTGATGTATGTATGTATTGTTAGATTCCAAGCGAGCCAAGTATGCCAGAATCTGCTCAGCTCCGAGTACATGGAGTGTGTGAGCGAGTTGTTACAGTTTGCAGACTATGCACTGTACCGCCCCACTACGTTACCTGCCCCCGCACAAGATGAACCTAACACACGTGAGTTCGGGAGGGGAAAATTTGAAGCTTTTTTTATTACTCTTATCACGTAACTAGCCAGTGTTTTGATTTTTTGCGTCCCATAATAGAATGAAAATTGTAATTAAATACAATGGACTTCTTCTTAATTGTTCATAAAGCTTCATAAAAATGTAGTTGTCTAAAAAGAAAAATTCTCAATTAATTCGCAAGTCTCGAATAAAGAACATAGCAAACATAGCAAAAGATACATAAGTGATCTAAATATAAAACTGTCTTGTGATATATAAATTACATTAACAGCCTTAAAAGTCTCTACAATCCTTACTGGTTGAATGTTAGAGACTATCATTAAGTCCGCAATTATTAGCAAGTAAAAAAGTAACAAACTAGCATGATGAATGCAAAATTTTTAACACAATTACTTTGCTTCCAGCTGAAGAGGGAGGCAGGTTACTTGAGAGCGTCTCCTCATATTGCCTCGACTTAAACCTCGGGAATAGTTCAGCGAGACTAATAAAAGCCCCCAAAAAAGGTATATAACCCGATCAATATTTGCACTGTTCTTTTTTTTAAGAGTTGTCGAAGTAAAACAATGTTTTTAGTTTCAGAGGCTAAATCGTCTCCAACGAGTGATGGTGATCCCAATCCAGTTTTAGAACAGAGTGAAGGTAGGTAATAATAATAATAAAGAAGGCGAAACTAAATATACTGCTACATGAAAAATGAATAAACTCAGTTAATTTTCACTGCCTGAATTTCTAATTAATAAAATCTAGTCAGTTAAAGGGTACACATTAATTGTCAACATATTGAGTGCTTATACATATGTATCAATGTGATATGTGTAAATGGAATAAATAATTCATTCATTCATTCATTCAAATAACTTATTCGTTTGTTCTGTCAAAACATGTTTTACACGGTTTCTCATTCTTTTTTCAGCCTTTCTTTATATATGAAGCGTTTGTAAGGACTGTATCTCGTGGAGCTCGGTTCACCCATGTTACGCGTTAACCATTAATCCTTGCCTAAAATGAATTCAAATGCTATACGGATTTATCGCAGACATATAGCTGATTAATGAATCCGCATAAATGAATATACACGTCGCATATTTTTACCACTTTCTTATTTAACCCAATAAATTAAACCTTGCATATTTTTAGATGGTATAATAACGCAAACCTATCGATTTAAGGTTATCCGGGACCGAAGAACGTGTGCAAGGCGATAGTGGAGGCCGGCGAGGACCATCTGAGGCTCCTGCTGCGTCAGTGCCTCGCGCGGGAGTCGTTGTCCGCCTCGTGGCTGCCCGTACTCTACTCACTGTGCCAGCAGGCCGCTGATATCATCATGCCCGGTGAGGGAAACGTTTCATTAACCAAATTCAAAATAGGAGGTTTCTCAATTCGACAGTGTATACGCTTTTTTATTATACGACAGTATATATGTTTGTTCGCGGATAACTTCGTCGTTTATGAACCGATTTTAATTTTTTACCGTTTTCAAAAAAGGAGGAGTTTCTCAATTCGACTGTATTTTTTTTCTGTTTGTTACCTCATTATTTTTTACGGGGTGAACCGATTTTGATGATTCTTTATTATTTGAAAGCTAGTGCGTGCCGTGTGGTCCTAATTCAATTTGGTCCAGATCTGGCAATGGTGTCTATGAGAAAACCATATAAGTCTTAAAATTGCATTAAGTATGCGTGATATTTGTTACCTCAAAACTTTTTACAGAGTGAATCGATCCTATTGATTCTTTTCTATTTTTTATTTGAAAGCTGGTGCTTCCGGTTCCTACTTCAATTTTCAGCATAGTATTTGTCAGACTTAGGAGAAGGTTTTAGGTATATTAACTGACTAAAAAAATGGAGGTTCGCACTGTAACACAGTTTTGACGCGGTTTTGTGAAAAGTATTTTTAGTGTTACCTATTATATAAAAATATCGATATCACTGAAAAGCATGAAAAATAACTTAGAAAAATAGAACCGACTTCAAGCTTTTGAGATGAGTATTATTTTTCATTTTTTTAAGTTTGAAGTTGGTTCTATTTTTTTTAGTTTTTTTTTATTGGATAGCTTATGGGCCCCATCTGGTCCCATATAAATTTTATCAATATCGAATTGGTAGTTTTTTTGTATAACAAAACAAAATATGCCTTTCACCAAATATTATCAAAATATTGAAACAACATGTTTAGTATAAAAAACAAAAGATAACGTTATTTGCATTAATTTATAATCCGTATGGAAGAATTACAGTTTTACAAAAAGCCAATACATATCAGTAAAAATCATGATTTTTTTTTTTCAAAAAGAGACTGACTTCAGACCTTAAAAAGTGAGAAAAATCTTCCGCCCGACTTCAATAGAAGTTTCTTAATAATGAAGTCGCTTATAGAAAATTATCACTTATAGAAATTATAAAAACTTATAGTTAATTAATAAGAAATGAGGAATTATTACAAATCTTAATAAATGCTTTTACTAAATCCGTTAAAATAATGTGGCAAAGCCGGACTCCATTCTATATTTTTTACTCCAGCGATACTTATAGTTTACTATACTTTGACATCATGACCCAAAATATGCAAAAATAGTTTTTTTTTTTGCATATTTTGGGTCATGTTATTTAGTTTTTTTCTTTATAGCAAGTTAACTTAGTAAAACTGTCAAATTTATTTAATCGATTTTAAGCCTTAATACGTTAACGACTGCGGATATTTTATGTTTTTTGGTAACTTGAAGTGCTACTCTTTGTACTTAACAACTTTTATTTTCAACACAATAAAAAATATTTTTCACAGATATGTTTAGCAGTGACATCGACGTACGAAACTATGTCCAAGTGAAGAAAGTTCCCGGCGGCAACATCAACGACAGTTGCGTGGTACAGGGCGTTGTCCTCACCAAAAACGTCGCTCACAGGTGAATTTTATGTTTGTTTTATTAGTGACTCAAAATGTAATCAGTTGGATTAATCGCTAAAATCGATGGCGTTAAGTTCTGAGCATATCTGAAGATAAATGCCACACCTCGTCAGTCGCGTAACGTCAGAACTGACAAATGTATGATATCACATTGAAAACCAGCGTCAGGCTACAAGTCTGATATAACTGACTTGAGCTTATTTTTGGTGCAGTCGTGAGACGCAATACATGTTATTTTATTTCTTTTTATAGTAATTTGTAACCGGAAATTGTATCTTTTGTCTCATGTTTGTACCAGAATAAATAATTCATTGATCACGCACACTCGACGGATGATCCGGCGCGTACTAACGTAAACTTCCATGAGACGCTTGGCGCATCTTCCGTCAGACTTTCACCGATACTTAGTATGTAATGATTAGATAAGGTTTGTTTAGTTTATCTTCTTCACACACAAAAAATTCCAGGGGAATGCCGCAACAAATCGACAACCCTACAATTTTACTACTGGATTGTTCCATCGCATACCAACGAGTAGAAGGAAAATTGACGTCTTTAGAACCGGTATTGCTGCAGGTTAGCATTTACTTACACATAATTTTATTTATATTAATGTTAATAAACTTAAGACATTATCACAAGCATTGCTCAAATACCAAATAAAATACCCAATTATTTGACCCTAGTTTGTCAATATAAAATAACATTTGCTGCTGCTAAAACCTTGTGTTGAAACACAAAGTTTTAGCAGTATATGTGTTTGTTTGTTTTTGATAATATATTTATTTGTTATTGACAAGACAATTTTTAAAACAATTAATATTGTATGAACAGACACGTAATAGGGGTGTAGACAACTCTTTTCATATTTTTATTTTACAGATATACATGAAATATACATAAAAAAATATTTGAAAAAGTATCACTAAAAATAACGTAAAATCTTAAATTTAATTTTTAAAATTTCCCACGGAATCGCCACTTCTGTCATGGCGTCACGGTGCTCTGAAACTTATATCGTTCTATGTATGCATAAGGTTGAATTGTTTTAGTTCTGACATGTGTAAGAGGGTTGTGACGTCACGCGCTGTTTGCGGTCACGTGAAAACGAGTATAAAATATTTATTTTTTCATAATTAATTTAAGCAATATCATAAATATAATCGGCAATAAAAGTGTGATTATCGGTAATACTATATTGAACACTACCAGAAAAAATAATATTTATTTATTTTTGTTTACTGTCTATACTCGAATCATATTACGACGCTGTTAGTTTGTGTAGTAGTATGACGAGGACGTTCAAGTGTGTGGTGGTGGTGTGTCAGGAGGAGCAGTATCTAGCGCGCATGGCGGCGCGCGTGTGTGCGCTGGGCGCGCGCGTGGTGGTGGTGGGGGGTGGGGTGGCGCGCGCGGTGCAGGACGCGCTGCGGGCGGCGCGTGTGGCGCTGGTGACGCGCGTGCGCCCGCCCGCCCTCGCGCGCGCCGCCCGCTGTACTCGTGCGCATCTGCTCACCTCTATCGACGCACGCATCGGCACGCCCACGCTCGGCACCGCTGAAAAATTCTACGTTCAGAACTGTAAGCATCCACCTTTAAGCCTTAACATTTATGTGTGAGGGAGGGGGGGGCAGGCAAAGTGTAGGGGTGCCAAAAATATAACATTTGTTGAGCGACAACATTTATTCATTTAACACTTTATTGCACAAAAAAAGTAAAAATAAACACATTGCAAGGAACAAAAAAATAAATTAATTACAGTTGTGCAATGGGCGGCCTTATCGCCGAACAGCGATTTCTTCCAGGCAACCTTTTGATCGATACTGGTGGCAGGTGATTGCGGGTCATGCACAAAGTTAGGGAAAACATCAACTAAATATATAAAATGAAATAAAAAAAAAACAACATTTCAACGGGCAGTCAATCACAACACGCATATTTCTTCAACTTTACAAACAAATGTTTATGTATTCCGCCGTTCTCCTGTTGACCTCACCAAAATGTAGCTCTCCCGCGGACCTTTGACAACTCGATCAAAATTCCCCTCTAAACTTTATTCGAGCTGTCAAATGTTCCGAATGATCTGACGACATTCAGTAGAGTAATTATCTATAAAGAATTGTCCAAACCCATCCGCATCGGTCTACTGTCAGGGCTCATTTTAAGAGATAGACCTTCAGTTCTGCGGTCTAGCTTTTCTCATCACTTTTTGATAAAATAATATAAAATACCTATTTTCATTGCGATATCTTTATGTTTCTTTGCTTGTTATCTTTTTAAATGTATGAACCGTATAGAAAAACACCTTTTGTATCTTAATGTTTCGATTTAGATAGAGTTTTTAAAAGACAGATCCTACGCCGGCGAACTTTTTAAAATATAAAAAATACAAATGATATTTTAGCTTTTATAAGCAGTTTCCGAAATATATTAAAAATGAGATAGTTTTTTTGATTCTTATAAATTCTTGACTAACGTTTGAAATGTACGCTTTTCTTACAGACGGAAACAAAACTCTAATGGTACTGGAAGGTTGCGCTGAATCAAATCTAGGTTGCTGCATCTTACTACGCGGGGCAACCCTACAGGAACTCGTGAGAGTAAAGAAAGTTGTCAAATTCATGCTCTTAGCGTGCTATAACTGGAAACTAGAGAAAGCATTCCTAGGTGATATAGAAGCTGTCCTACCAGAATCCGGAATGACGTTCGACGACTTCTCTGATGTGAAAAAAGAGGATGTGGCTACAGAAGACTTTCCAAACGACAAAGAAGATTCCGGTGGAAATGATACAGCATTGAGTAATGACGCTTGGGAGAATACTATAGCGAATTGCAGTAACAAAGATCCTAAACCGGATGCTTCTAATTCTATAGATGCTAAGGATGTCAAAAAAACAAACAAGAAAACTCAGGAATCTGATGACCCGTTACAGAGAACTAAAGTGTTTAGGAAGACTGATAGTGATAAGAATTTTAGTTGCGGTGTTCCTATAAGAGACTTCAGTGATCCTTTGCGTGCCACTCTAGATGATGACGTGTTCTTGCCGAAGGAGGAGGAAAAGTTAAGAGCTGATAATCATACAGAAAGGTTCGTATAGACATGCTGACATCATTATATGCGTGAGTAAAAAATTTTAGACTCTTATTTACAAAAATTTCGTGGACCGAGAGGTATGATTACGCACAGTTAAAGTTAGTACATAGAAGAAGAGCAAAAAGCTAACATTTGATTTATAAAATATAAATAAAAACATATCATATATTCTACTATGAGTTTGACACTTGTTTATTGAATGTCAAACAATTTTAGAAAAGTAGTCTTTGATAATATAATATAAAAAGGACAGATTTTTTTTTTTGCAATGGTACCGAAATTACTGGACGATTTTAAAAATTGTTTCACCTTCGGGAAGCTTCGTTATACATACATGCGTCATCGACGTATATATAATAGGAGTGTGGACAATTTTTTCAAAAATATTTTTATTTAGTAGATATGTGTGAAATATATATATAAAAAATATATTTAAATTATTCATAAAATTAAAATCTAAAATCTAAATATAAACATTTTCAAAAATTCCCGCGATAACGCCACTTCTGTCATGGCGTCGCTATCATGGCACTCTGAAACGAATATTGTTCTATGTGTTCATATTGTTGAATTCTATAAAATTCTGATATGAGTAAGAAGGGCGCGACGTCAAGCGCTGTTTGCGGTAACGTGACAACGAGCATTCAATATTTGTTTTTTCATAATTAGTTTAAGCAATATTTTGCTTATAAATATAAAAAGTATAAAAGTGAAATTATCGGTAATAACATATTATACACTACCAGAAAAAAAAAAATTCGTTTACTATCTACACCCGTATTGTCCCGGGAAAACGGGTAAAGTTTTCATAATTAGGCAACTACTTGTTTTTATAAAACTTTCTATCTCAATCAATTTCTTGGGGGTTTCGCCTGTGGACGCCGATGTAAAACAAAATCGTATGATAATAATTTATTAATCTTCATTAAAAGCCTTGTTAATTTTAATTTAACTTGTATGGTCAGGTGGTCTACAGACGACGTGGTGCTATCAATGTCGCCAAATACTATTATCCCCGCGCCGTATTTAGAAACCGAAGCGGGCCGAAAATGCCCCCTGAGGGAACACTTTCCGCGGCCTCTATTGAGAGTGCCGACGAAAGCTCCTCACACACCAAGACCACAACACAGGAAGATTAGTACTAAACCGCAACAAAATGATATCGTATTGAAGGTCAGTATACGAAACTACATACAAGCTAATTCGGTTATAAACAAGTTATAAGCCACGGTTCGGCATGAATGGGCCGGCTCGACCGGAGTGATACCACGGCCTCACAGAAAACCGACGTGAAGCAACGCTTGCGTTGTGTTTCGTCGTGTGAGTGAGAGTATCGGAGGCCCAACCCCTCCCTATTCCCTTCCCTCTACCCCTCAACCCTTCCCTCTAAGGCCGGCAGCGCACTTGTAGCCACTCTGGTGTTGCAGGTGTCCATGGGCGACGGTAATCACTTACCATCAGGTGATCCGTATACTCGTCTGCCCCCTATCTCATAAAAAAAAACAATATGGCGGATGATAGATGACTTACCCCCAGTTTCAATAACCAAAAAACTATCTATTTTTGCTACCATCCGTAGCATTTCCTACCGATGGTAGCAAAAAAAGTGTCTCAATAACATACCATTGGTAGGTAAAGCTACCGACGGTGTGCTACTAACGGATTGATCTGATACTGTTGGCAAATTCAGTTTTATTGGAATCAGGTTTTCCATAATTATATAGAGGTAAATTATTAAGTTTTCAACAGAAACATATTGTAAAAAGCATCTGGACCAATAATTAATTGGTAGTATGAGCGCTTAAAGGTACAAACATTGACATGATTACAAAGTTAAATTCTTCTAATTGGAACCACAAAACACATTAAGCTCTTCTACAATATTATTTTTTTAATAAAAAACTGTTACTTTTATTTTAATTAACAAGGGAAAACGTGTTATTTCTAAATATTTTTACGATAAATCATACTAAAAAAAAGTTTAATTCAATGGGCCAAATGTTCCGAATCGCGGTTTCTTGCCTGCAGCATAAAATGTTTCTATCCCATTTTTATCTAAAAAAATTGATTTTTAATACAAGTAAAAAAAAAAACTAAAAACTTTTAAAGAGATAAATCTAAACTATTTGTTGTAATGGTAACTCTTTTGTTTACATCAGAATAACTTGTTTCACAATAACACCACTTTTGAGAACCAAACCATACAATAAATAAGTCATAATAATTCCAAAACAAATTTCATATTTAGTTTCGGTACGTAATCAGTTCACCTCTTTCCTATTGATGTCTTTGTCTTCCTTCTTACGATTTCGATTTTGTCCAAGAAATTATTAATTGTTAAAGACCAACATTTCAGTATAATCATAATATTACAAGGCTGTATGGAAAGACCCCTTTTCCTCGAATTATATGATTACAATTAAAAAAATGAGCTACCGACAACCGTTCGTAGTTGGTAGGTGCCTACCGATGATTGTGAAACGCAAAAACGAATGGTTGTCGGTAGCTCAAAAAACGGTCGATAGCTGCTACCAATGGTTGTCGGTATATTATTGAAACCGGGGGTAAATCAAGAAATGGCGCATATCGTGATATGCCCAGGCTGATCTTGATCGGCCCAATTTAATAATTAGCCCACGACATATATATATTGTAACTCTACTCTATAATCCAGGTCCAGCTAGTAACGGTATAACGTAACTTTAATAATGAAACTATATTACAAATCGAATAAGATTGTTAGCTTGGATTAAATATATTATGACGATGCATATATTATTAAGACACATGGGTACCTTTGTCCAAAGAGATCGAAATGACTCGCGATCGTTGCGCACACATCAACACACCCTCTTCATATGAGTATGACGTAATTGTACCAGGAAGTGCATCCGTTCGTTCGTAACCCGTTGACGTCGTCCGCGGAGGACGCGAGTGTACGCGCCGCGCTGGCTCACTATCGCGCCACGGGCGGCAGATTACTTGCCGACAAACACAAACGTAAGTTTATAAACCTCACCATCATTAAGCCTTTTACGTCCCCACTGCAGGGGCTCAGGTCTTAACGATAGTCAAGGAGGATAGGCCATGACCCACCACGCTTGCTAAATGCGGATTGGAAGGTATTAACTGCAAATGCAGCCGCGACCAACGGCTTAACGTGCCTTCCGAAACACGGAGTAGCTCAAGATAATAATTATTCGGTCACCCATGCCATGACTGACTCTTGAGAAAGTTGTTTCACAGCAATGAACCTTATCTCATACGCACTACTTACTAGGTTAATTATTGTTCGTTATTATAAATAACAGTCAGTTTTTTAACCTACTAACATCGAGGATAAAGAAGAAAAAATGTATCTCTAAATAAGTTGTTTGTAATGGTATTAAATCTAAAAGTATCTACATATATCGACATTTTTTTAACTAAATATTAAAATTTAAATGTTAATATAAAATATATATATATATATATATATATATATACTCTATAAACAGTACTTTAAATAGCGTTAGTTACATCCTCTATAACTCCAGAATGACCTAACCGATTTCCATGATATTTGATTTGTTGGATTTGTCTCCGCCCGGAATAGCAGAGTAATTAAAATATATAAGAATCCAGATGTAGGGAAGAACAATACATAAATCTTACGTTGACCCAAAGTGCTATTGTGACTGGAAATGCTTTATAGCTTCATGAGAAATTGTTCCAGTGTACGATTTTATGAAATCTAAATATATAAAGCTTAATTATTAATATAAATTGGAATAAAGAATCTTCTCAAAATTACAAAATATCATAAATATATTTAAATATTTTATAAATATATTCAATATTTAAAAACGAATGTATGAACATTAGAATTTTAATGCTTCGTGTCGTATTAAACTCCGCTCACTAGGTGCGGAGTTTATTAAGTTTTCGCATTTTGTTTCTTTAATTTCCATCTGCGCGGTCGATTAGGCCCTATATGCTTTTAGCATTATGCGATGAGGTAGGTGTTTCCAGACGAGTGTCCATTATACAAGCCATCAGTGTTGAAGAAGTGTCAAAAGGAGTTGGAGATAGATACGGAGAAGACGCACGATGAGCCGCCGGACCCGATGTCGCCGGAGAACCATCAGCGGCTGAGCATGCTCATATACAGCTACTGCTCCAAGTCAGCCAACGTACCAGACTTCTGCGTAAATCCATGGTGAGATAGGAATTTCTTGTCTTATTTATTATATGCGTTATGAAAATGGAGCAAACTATTTAATTGAAAATTGAATAAATTTCATAGTTACCTATTTTGGAAGCTCTACTTATCTCTCTCTGTTTACCTCTCTCTCTCTCTCTCTCTCTCCCAAGCAGCAAAATTATCCTATAGTGCAGATGTTATAGGCCTTCAGTACTTATAACATTCTCTTAACGGTCATAGTATTTACTGTCACGCTTATAATAGGAAGCATGGAGTCACTTGGGCCTTGTAGTATATCCGATCTTCTATATCAACTTATAACCTCTTATAGATCGAAATTAAAGATGTATTATAAGCTTAGGTGCCCTATAATATAAAAGGATGCTGTGGGTGTAAATGTACTCGAGAGTAGATAAACTAGTAAGCTATTCTTATAACTGCTAAAATAACTCATTATAGAACTATTACAAGTAAAGTACGCCAATAACAGTGCTAAACATACTGGAAACCATTTGCATTTATTACTTGATTTTGTATAGGTTTATAAATCCACTTTAGATAACAATTATGAGTAAAATGGATAAGTTTTATAGTGGAATAACTTAATATTGTTATAATCACAACACTACTATAAAGGTTTTGATACAAGAATACATTGGTTTAATATGATCCTGCAAAAGTTGTTATAGTCTCAAACAAACTATTTTAATTCTGATAAATCTTATTCCTTGCCGAACTGCTATTAACTTCTGTTATCAAATGGATCTGTATAAATAGAAACGGCTAAAAAGAAGTGGTTCTTACAAACGAAAAGTTCCGAAAACCTATGAGCAAATAATTCAGGTGTCCAGTTTGAACTTTATGTCTGGCGAAGAAAGTATCGTAGAAACAGGAAATAGTTCCGTACAAAACAATTCTTGTGATAATTTGAGACAGAACGTTTATAACACTAACTCAGCACAAAATGACGCTTTATCGATAAAAAACGATTTCAATTCAGACCTTGAATTATCAAGTGAGGAATCTGTATCAGAAGATGAAAGCGATATTGAAGGCTATTCTAATTTTGAACTTCCTGTGTGATCTTAGAAAATGGGCTGTAGACCCGAGAGCATTATATTGAAATACGTGGTAATATTATTGAACAAGCACAAGTTGCATTAGATCAACCAATAAAATCGTTGTTTCTTAATATATATCAATGCAATTTTAATTAAATCAACGACAATCAAAATGAAAACGTCTTTAAAATTTCAAACATAAAATGTAAGCTTGTGATTGTTGTGTACAGTTCAAATATATCAAATATACCGCTGTTGTACACATTGTGAGTTACCAGAATTATATAAATATTTGAAGAAATTTTTAATAATTCACTGATTGGTTAATTCCGTTAGTAGTTATAATTTCTGCTAAAATACTTACCAAACTCGTTAAAAAAAATAAACAAAATATTGATACCTGCTTATGAATTATTATTCAAGGTAAATTAAAAATTTTCCCTCTTACATTAGATTTCCTACCTTACTTTTACACAATAATTTATTCCCAAGGCCACATTGAGGTTTTCAAAGCTCGAAAATCGCTTTTAGTCAAAAAGCGATCAACGTCCAAAAACACTACCATGCTAAATACCTAAACAAAAATTTTAAAATAAAATATGAAAAATATTCCGGTTATATTAATATTTGTTGAACCCTGATTCCAAAAAATATGGCCAAGCAACGGTTCTAATGTCTGCCCTTTTTAGACAAAGTACGCCTAAAATGGTTTGTTAATGTATTTGGAAAAACCATTTGACAAGATGGCGACTTTTCGTTATATGATCTTACTGAAACCGAAATTATTTCTAAATCTAACTTATTAAAAACGCTACTACTAAGAGGCGAGTAAAAATTTTAATAGAAAACCTATTATACTTCACCGAAAATATACATGCGGCAGTCATTACTTATTGTTACATAAGTAACACTTTACTTTTAATTAATATTTTAGATATTATGTATTTATAGTTAGAAATGGATGAAAATTACCATTATCAATATAAATATGTGCATCAACATTTGAAAATTCAGAACACTTTCAATGAGCCTATAAGAGATTTTTTACTGTCGTATTTAGTTCCATTAAGCGCTGATTGTTAGCTTCGCAGGAGCAAATAGTTCTACGTAGACTAACTATAGGGTCGTTATTGAACAAAGTGGTGTTCACCAAGTCTATTATAGATATTGAATAAGAGCAAATACGCCTGTAAATTGGGCCCTTTTCCGTGGTTATAATTGCTTACTATTCCATTATAGTCCTGATAAAATTGTGGTTCCAGGATGATTACTAGACCACATTTTGCTGCTTGGGCTCTTTCTCTCTTTCTCTCTTTCTCTCTCTCTCTCTCTCTCTCTCTCTCTCTCTCTCTCTCTCTCTCTCTCTCTCTCTCTCTCTCTCTATCGGGATATCCCGTCTTGAATTGATATCATTGAGTTTCTTTAAAGACATTTGCTTAAACATCATATGTCATAATATCTATTTGTTTGCATAA